AGGATCAAAGGGGTGTGAGTGGGATCAGTAGAAGGGGGATCTATAGGGAGATGAGTAGAATCAATGGGGGTAGCGAGGGGTATCTGTGGTGGCTGGAGGGGGGGGGGGGGCAGCAGATCCCTGCCACACGTGACAGGGATGCCCAGCTGTGCGCGCGGGGACCATCTGTCGGGACCATCTGTCGCCGGCGTGACTATAACAGGATAGTGACTATAACAGGATAGTGACTATAACAGGATAGTGACTATAACAGGATAGTGACTATAACAGTATAGTGACTATAACAGGATAGTGAATATAACAGGATAGTGACTATAACAGGATAGTGACTATAACAGGATAGTGACTATAACAGGATAGTGACTATAACAGGATGGTGACTATAACAGGATAGTGACTATAACAGTATAGTGACTATAACAGGACAGTGACTATAACAGGATAGTGACTATAACAGGATAGTGACTATAACAGGATGGTGACTATAACAGGATGGTGACTATAACAGGATAGTGACTATAACAGGATAGTGACTATAACAGGATAGTGACTATAACAGGATAGTGACTATAACAGGATAGTGACTATAACAGGATAGTGACTATAACAGGATAGTGACTATAACAGGATAGTGACTATAACAGAATAGTCACTATAACAGGATAGTGACTATAACAGGATGGTGACTATAACAGGATGGTGACTATAACAGGATAGTGACTATAACAGGATGGTGACTATAACAGGATAGTGACTATAACAGGATAGTGACTATAACAGTATAGTGACTATAACAGGATAGTGACTATAACAGGATAGTGACTATAACAGGATAGTGACTATAACAAGATAGTAACTATAACAGTATAGTGACTATAACAGTATCGTGAGTATAACAGGATAGTGACTATAACAGGATAGTGACTATAACAGTATAGTGACTATAACAGGATAGTGACTATAACAGGATAGTGACTATAACAGTATAGTGACTATAACAGGATAGTGACTATAACAGGACAGTGACTATAACAGCATAGTGACTATAACAGTATAGTGATTATAACAGGATAGTGACTATAACAGTATAGTGGCTATAACAGGATAGTGACTATAACAGGATAGTGACTATAACAGGATAGTGACTATAACAGTATCGTGAGTATAACAGGATAGTGACTATAACAGGATAGTGACTATAACAGGATAGTGACTATAACAGTATAGTGACTATAACAGGATAGTGACTATAACAGGATAGTGACTATAACAGTATAGTGACTATAACAGTATAGTGACTATAACAGGATAGTGACTATAACAGGATAGTGACTCTAACAGTATAGTGACTATAACAGTATAGTGACTATAACAGTATAGTGACTATAACAGTATAGTGACTATAACAGGATAGTGACTATAACAGTATAGTGACTATAACAGTATAGTGACTATAACAGTATAGTGACTATAACAGGATAGTGACTATAACAGGATAGTGACTATAACAGGATAGTGACTATAACAGTATAGTGACTATAACAGGATAGTGACTATAACAGTATAGTGACTATAACAGGATAGTGACTATAACAGGATAGTGACTATAACAGGATAGTGGTGCGCAGGCGGTCCAACTGCCACAAGGGGTCCAGGCACCAGGCTACACATCGGGAGGGGGTGGGAGGTGAATTATAGGCAGTCGATTGATTCACTCAACCGACTGTGGATTCTGCAGATCACTCTGCTTTGGATTCTACAGATTCACTCCACCTTGGATTCTGCAGAATCACTCTGCCTTGGATTCTGCAGATTCACTCCGCCTTGGATTCTACAGATTCACTCCGCCTTGGATTCAACAGAATCACTCTGCCTTGGATTCTACAGATTCACTCCGCCTTGGATTCTACAGATTCACTCCGCCTTGGATTCTGTCGATTCACTCCGCCTTGGATTCAACAGAATCACTCTGCCTTGGATTCTACAGATTCACTCCGCCTTGGATTCTACAGATTCACTCCGCCTTGGATTCTACAGAATCACTCCGCCTTGGATTCTGCAGATCACTCCGCCTTGGATTCTACAGAATCACTCCGCCTTGGATTCTACAGATTCACTCCGCCTTAAATTCTGCAGATTCACTCCGCCTTGGATTCTACAGATTCACTCCGCCTTGGATTCTGCAGATCACTCCGCCTTGGATTCTACAGAATCACTCCGCCTTGGATTCTACAGATTCACTCCGCCTTGGATTCTGCAGATTCACTCTGCCTTGGATTCTACAGATTCACTCCACCTTAAATTCTGCAGATTCACTCCGCCTTGGATTCTACAGATTCACGCCACCTTGGATTCTGCAGATTCACTCCGCCTTGAATTCTACAGATTCACTCTGCCTTGGATTCTACAGATTCACTCTGCTTTGGATTCTGTCGATTCACTCCGCCTTGGATTCTACAGATTCACTCCGCCTTGGATTCTACAGATTCACTCCGCCTTGGATTCTACAGATTCACTCTGCCTTGGATTCTACAGATTCACTCTGCTTTGGATTCTGTCGATTCACTCCGCCTTGGATTCTACAGATTCACTCCGCCTTGGATTCTACAGATTCACTCTGCTTTGGATTCTGTCGATTCACTCCGCCTTGGATTCTACAGATTCACTCCGCCTTAAATTCGGCAGATTCACTCCGCCTTGGATTCTGCAGATTCACTCCGCCATGGATTCTACAGATTCACTCTGCCTTGGATTCTACATATTCACTCCACTCTGGATTCTGCAGATTCAGACTCTATGGATGAGCTCATAAAAAGGGATGATTCAGTAAAAGGTAAACTTTTGATAACTCCTGCTGATGCTGGCTGTAATCTCCAGCAAAACGTTCGACAAATTTGTCAAAAATGTTGCTGCTGGCTTTTCAATATTCCTCCGATTTGCTGAAAATCCAAATCAAGTGGCATATTGGCCATGGTGTGTCAACTCGATTCGATTGATTCTGTCGTTGGGTGGTGAAGGGTTATAATAAAATAAAGTTGAAATTATAGACGAGGGGGAATTTAAAAAAACTTGCGGCATTGTTTCAACTGCTGCGCCAGGAGGAGGAATTGAACCGGCGGCTTCTCGATTGCAAGTCCGGTGCGATGGTAGCAGCAGCATCCTCACAAAAGACAACTCCTAATTAAAAAAAAAAACTGGCCTGGGCCAAACATCCCAATGTGGCAAGACCCTCTTGGGAAAGAGCCCCGAGACTCGGCCAGGTTTTCCCCGCATAAATAAAAAATAAAACGCCACTGCCAAGAAACCAAATATCCTTACACGCGATTGTAAAATCCGCGGTGGACTACACATGCACGCACACAGTTCCCTGGATCCGGAGCCAGAAAATTGTAGGGGCAACCAAAGACAAAGATCCGCCCGTATAGCCTTAACAGAGTGTTGGGGCAAGTGCTCTTAGCGAGCGCCTATGAAAGCCGGCACGGCTCACGAGAGGCTGGGTGGCCAGCACCACGCCCGACCGTCTTTGTCTCCCCAGTAGCAATGTTTACACACTGCACCAGGTACTCATTTGAGGCTGAGCTCGGGGAGGCTCAGGACCAATTCAGATAATCGTCACTGGTGTTGGCCGTGAGCGGGGATCGAACTCGGGGGCGCAGGGTTTGTAGCGCAGCGCGCTGATCTCTACACTACCAATCCCAGCCGCCGCCACCACCACCCACCACCCACCAATGCCATAGCCACATGAAGAATTTGCGTCGCGTGACCTCGAGCGAGCGCTTGTATCACTGCCAACAAATTCTTTCGTAAAAAAATCTTTCGGAGCTAATCAATGATTTTTCCTGTTTCCCAGTGGGTGGCTACGGTGCTGTCTGGTTCTTGCTGTGGACAGGGCTCACTTTCAGCCGGGTCTGTCGCCGACCTGATACAATAATTTACCTGCCGACAAACCACATCCAGCGTGCACCTCCCTCCCTCCCTCTCGCGATGGTTTTAGTTGCTACATAAAGCACACCAGCGACCCTGGGAATATGCAGTGATGAATGGAGCCTTGGTGTCGGTGACAGGGTAAGGCGAGTGAGTAGGCGTGCAGGTAGGTGAGTAGCTGAGCATGTAAGCGGGCGGTTAGGTGAGTGGGTACTTGAGCGGTTAGGTGAGTGGGTGGGTGAGTGGGTGCGCGAGTGGGATTCATAGCACCAGGGCTTAATTTCATCCGGGTTTGCCCAGGTCTATTGGCAACCGGTAAAATTTCTATGCCTGGCACACCACATCCAGTAAAGCCTCTCTTTTGCTACTGCTTCTGGCTGCTACCAGTTACGTGCTGGTGCATGCCTGTAATCGAGCACTGTGGAGGCAAGGGTCGGTGGATCACGCAAACGTTGTGAAACTGCCTTCACATTGGGCATCGAGGAGATGCCCGTACCCTGGCTGGCCGGGAGAAGGCAGTTGAGCAAAGTGCCGACTCCACGTGCAAGGGGGATACAGCGCTCCCCCCTCGCACGCATGGGGTTTTCCCCGGTGTGCTCCGGTTTCGCCTCCCACGTGTAAACAGTCTCATTCGATCGGACCGCAGAGCTCGTGGGGGAATTTGGCACCGGCTCCTCACCGCCTGGCTGCTGCTCGTCCCTGGTTCCTCCTCCTCCTCCTCCTTCTCCTCCTCCTCCTCCTGTCGCGCCTCTGTGCTCGTTTCCTCTCGACGGGGGTGAGGAGCGAGCGCTGTGCGGGGGCGGCGCACTGCGAGTCGACGCAATTTTTATTGCGTCGACGACTCCAGTTTCCCAGCATCCCGGAAAATAGTCGGGTAAGAAATGAAGCCCCCCCCGCCCCCCCCCCCCCGGTCTCATTGGGGTTAGGGGGCGTTTGGGATGAAAGGAACGGGGATAAACGTGCTTACAAAATGCAAAAAAAAAACGAGAAATATCTGGTCAAAGTTTTTCCCGAGTCTCACATCACATCCTGCTCCCCCCCCCAACCCACCACCCCCCCCCCCCCCCCACCACAAAAAAAGTCCGTCTGCCCGTTTGCGAAACACACGAGGACAAAAATATATATTCGTATCTATATAGGTCTATGGGAGCGCTTCCCCGTGCGTCCGCCCGCCTTGTACGCAAATGCAGCTCCGATTCCGCCCGTAAAATAACAGCGGTGAGTTTCACTCGCGACGCGACGGTGCAGTGCACATCGACGCCTCTCGGCGTAGAGCAATGCCGCCGCGGGGTGGGTCGCTTGCATATTCCGTGCCGTGTTCATCTTGCGGCGATCAGAAATACTGGTGGGAGTTTGTACAGCAGTAGCGTAGTAGTAGTCGTAGTAGGAGTCCTGTGAATCTCCTCTTATCCGCGATCCGTACGATCCGTGACAACTATTGTTATTATTATCCGTACTCCTATTCTTACGATTATCCGCAATTATCCAGTTTTCACGGGCAAGTGGAGTAAATTTGCAGATCACCCCACGGATAAAAGAAACATTGATGTTTGCCCTCCCCCCCAACGACATAATCGCGAATAAGAGGAGTTTTACAGTAGGAGTAGCGGCGGCATTATTATCATCATCACCGTCACCGTCATCACCATCATCATCAATCATCATCATCACCATCGCCATCGTCATCATCATCACCATCATCATCATCACCATCGCCATCGTCAACACCATCAGCATCACCATCATCATCATCACCATCATAATCACCGTCATCATCATCACCGTCATCATCACCATCGCATCGTCATCATCATCATCAGGGTTTAATTTCAGGCCAGGTCCGTCCGGGTGTCAACTATTCCGGGAAAATATTTCCACGCCCGGCACACCACATCATGTTTACCTTCTCTCGCTCGCTCATGCCCGTGGCTACGAACAAGCCACGTGCCACCTACTCCAGTAGGGCAAAGTGCGTGCCCCCCCCCCACCCCTCCGGGCGCAACTGCCATGTCCGGTAAATCCTCTCGAAATATCCCGCGAGAAATTAGACCCTGATCATCATCGTCGTCGTCGTCGTTGTCATCGCCATCGTAAATATTCCGTCCGCCTGACGCAGTTCAGCAGCATGGCACTCGGTATAAAACGCAGTTAGTGCTTTTCAGGGAAGAGGAAAACAATTACGACGACAAAAGAGATTCCGGTCCCAGGATCGAATATTTCGGCTCCCGTCCAAAAATTTGAACTCCGAGCCGAGAATTTTATGTTTTGTTTTAAATAATTCACCCGGTCAGGCGAGCGAAGGCCTTGGGGCGTCGCCGACGTCGAAGCAGTGATGGATTTTGATTGTTGTTGTTGTTGTGTCACATTTAGATTTACAACAACAAAAATTCACAACGTCCCCAAGCCTGATCAATATCCACGTCGCTTTTCACTGCATCGTTCAGAAAGGGAAAACAAATACACACCGTGTGTTATTACTAGGATCGGAATCGCCTTTGCTAACTCTCTGTGCCACTATATATATAGAATTTTATATAAATAAGTTTAGGTAGTTTATTTTAATTGTTCATTGAATAAGCAGTCGCTAGAGTGAGTGTGAGTGTGTGTGCAACTGGGGGTCGCAACAGGTGGTGATGCCAGTCACCTCACCAAGTTTACCCATAACACCTGGGGTCTCATCGATGACTGCCCACCGGCGAGCCTTCCACCACATTTAACGTGCACCTAGCCTGGCACGAGAGCCAGTGGTGAGGGTCACCGCCACTGAACGGTGAACGAGGGCTGCTGTTACCATTGTGTGCGCGCGTGCAACGTGCAAAACCTTCCACACTTTCACACGACGTCAAAGTGCACCTAGCCTGGTACGGGGGGGGGGAGGCGGCGGTGACGTCACCGCAACTTAGTGGTGAACGGTTGTTGTTGTTGTAAATTGTTGTGCTATTGCCACTGCTGCTGTTAGCCCGGGCGTAAATAACCACGGACCAAAGCACAGAAAACTCTCTCACGAACTGTCAACAGTCCAGCAGGCCACGATAGCAACTTCACCCATAGTTACGACACATCTTATCTTAAATAAAACCTACGCCACTGCATGTCGTACGTCGTTCTGTACTCATTTATACACGGCTCCAGGTAACATCTCACTTCTCGGCAGGCTTGATACTTGTGGTTGGCAAAACACAATCTCTTGAAAAGTCCATCACCGTTTGGGGTGTGATTTGATCATTTGCTTTCACGTGCGGTGAATGTAGCAGGCTCTAGTGGCCGGAGGTGGGGGGGTCACTTGATTGAGAACGGAATATATGAATTCGAACCGGCGAGATTTTGATGCCTGTACCTTGAGTTTGAGAGTCAATAATAGTCCGTATCAATCGATTTCATCGATACGCCCCTAATAACACAGATGATATGTTCATGTGAAAACAGTAGGAAAATGCTATCGTGTGTAAATTCACATTTATTGGCCACATGGAGAAATTGGTACCACCAAAATGTATCCACCCTCCAATGGTACCAATGTCTGTTTGATGTGGTGTGTTCTTCGTGCAAGTTTGTGTGCGCGAGACGTGGCGAGAGCATCGAGTGTGTGAGTGTACCTGTGGCGTTTGGTGTGTTGGTCACCATGAAGTCGTGCACGCACGTGCACACGCGTGACTCACTGTGTGTGCACTTGCGTGAATGCGTCTGCATGTGCGAGCCGGTGTGCGTGCAGGTGGGCGCCTGTAAGTGCAAGCGCGTGTACACGTGGTGCGAGTGCGTTGAAAGCGGCAGGACTTGTGCAAGCACGTGAGTGCGCGTGACACAAATCACACGCGCACAATCTCCGCCGGTGCAAACGTCCATCCAACATTCACCAACCCTCCGCCTGCACCTCCTCCTCCTCCTGCTGCTTTTCCACCCCGACTCCTCCGACGCCTCACGCCGGGCCTCAAAACCCACGCCTCAAACCTCGGGGCTGAAATCCCACGCCTCAAACCTAGGCCTCGAACTCTGGGATAAAACCGAGTGCGTCAAAGCCAGGTCTCAACCTTGACCCTTGCTCCACCGGCTTCACGCAGGCCCCGCAAAACCCCCCACAGGGCCTCACCCGCAGGGCCTCGCCACACACAGGGGGGGGGGGGGGAGGCCCCTCACCACCCCCCCCCCCCCCCGGGGCCCTCACACCAGCATGTGGCGTTTGCGGTGCAGCGCGAGGTGGTCGGAGCGCGAGAAGGAGCGCTCGCAGTCCACGCACTTGAAGGGCTTCACGCCCGTGTGCTTGCGGAAGTGCCGCGTCAGCTCGTCCGAGCGCGCGAACTTCCACGTGCAGCCGTCCCACGTGCAGCGGTAGGGCTTCTCGCCTGCACGCGCGCACGCACACGACGGGACACAATGCGACAACGTAGAGATCTCCACGCCGCACCCCGGCGAGAGCGCGCGATGCTGGAGCCAACGTTGCGCGCCCGCACACCGCAAGCACCTTGCGCGGTCGGGTTATAACACTGCTTTACGAGTAGACGAGGTGCGAGTCGCTACAGTGGATACAAGCAAGCGTCTCTCCGCTTGGAAAAACCGCATCAGGAAGACGCCTCCCGTCGTCCCATTGGAGTCGTCTCCGACCCAAAAAGCGCGCCCCTCCTACAGAGGGACAAACACGTGGAAGTCCAGCGGCAGCAACAGGCAGCAGAGAGAGGGGCCTCCCGTCCACGCTGCATGGGGCCTTGAGGCCCTTGCACGTGGGCGCGCGGGAGAAGTGCCGTGCTGTGGGTGGAGACTGTGTCGACAAACAGACGAGAGGTACTCTATGAATAATAATAATAATACACTAATGTCAACTTGTAACACGCCGCATCGGATTCGCTCGCTCTCTTAGAGAGAGACCGACTCGAAGGCACGAGGAGGAACCGCAAAGCGGCAACATTCCACTCCAAGCTCTGCAGTCCTCTACATATGAACGTGTTATTGGCCAATGAATGAGTGTTTACGCGCGAGAGGAAACCGGAGACAATCCACGCGTACGAGGGAGAAACACTCTATCCCGCAGGGACGGAACAGCTGGAGTCAACATTTTTCTGCCCCGCTTTCTCCTGGCGAGCCAGAGGATGGCTTCCTCCTCAAGAGCCCACGCGGAGAAGTTTCACAACACGAGTGCGATCCACCGACCCTCGCCGCCTCCACGGTACTGGACTTACAGGCCGGCTGCCTCCATCATGGAGTTAAACAAAAAATAACTCTCGCAGCGAGTCGCCCTCTCCGTACCCCCCTACGCGCACGCATCACGAAATCCCGAGATTGATGCGTACGGCGCCTATAAATAAACCTAGCAACGCGCGCATCTTGGGGGGCAAACACGACGGCCGTGGCCAGCTTTCCTCTGCCGGGCCTCCGCCGAAGCCAGCACGCGTCCCAACAACGCCGCACGGTGGGACCGCCGCCCGCTTGCCGTGCTGGTGCGAGGAGAGCGTCCGCCGGGAGCTGCCCCGTAACATTCCGCCTCTTTCACGCGGCATTTAGCGCCTGTGCATCACGCCACGAGACTCGCGGAGACCCACACACACCGCCCTCCCCCCGCCCAGCTTTCCACTTGGCGGGCTTACGAAAGAATCACCCGGAACGCGCCCCGGTCGCGATGGAACTCCAAAGCCTCAGCAGAGTTGACCGAGCCTGGTTTAGCGCTTGGATGGGTGACCACCATCATCACCACCACCAGCACCGGGGCTTGCCAGGTGCTGCAGGCGTGGCCCTGCGGGGATGTGGCCAGGGAATGGGCTGTGGTGAGTGCTGGTTCATCGTATGCGGAGTGGGTTTTCTCCGGATTCCTCCCATACGAAGCCCAAGTGTTTGTTGTATTGCTATTAATGAGGGCCAGGGGCAATGCTTGCCCTAGGGCTAATGCTAGGGCAAGGGGTAATGCTAGCAATTGGGCTTAGCTAATACTCCCCAAACGATCATAAGCGAGCAGTGAGCACCACACACACACACACACAACACACCTCGAATGGCATTTGCTCTGCAGTTACCCAGCCAAGCTTTAAACTCTCGCATCTCACTATTTTTAGAGAACATCAGATTAAATATTTTAATTCAGCTCCAACGACGCTGCGTGTTCCCCATCCGACAATGCAATCTGGGCGATCTATGAAACATAACGTACACACAAAGACAAAGATTCCCCGTATAGCCTGCAACAGACTGTTGGGGCAAGTGCTGTTAGCGAGCAACCTATGAAGGCCGGCACGGCACACGATGGAGTGTGTGGCCAACACCACGCCCGGCCGCTTTTGTCTCCCCAGTGGCGATGTATACAACCACACCAGGTACTTATTTAAGGCTGAGTCGACCTAGGGGGACGCCCAGGACCGGTTCAGATCAATCGTCACTGGTGTTGGCCGTGAGCAGGAATCGAACTCTGGTCGCCCGGATTCGTAGCGTAGCGCGCTAACCGCCCACGCTACCGCTCCCCACTATTAAACACACACGCACGCAAATGTTCACACGCACGTACCCGGAGGTTTTTTTTCTATTTTTCGTTGCAAAACACTGCGAGACCATTCTTTTAGATTCGGGAGAAACGGGGGGGGGGTAGGGTTCTGGGGAGAGACAAATGTGCTTTGTCATCCGCAGGTGATCCGTCACGACTCGGAGGTGAGAGACTTCCGATTCGTGGACACACGCCTTGCTCAAATGAGTCTCAGGACTCTCTCTCTCTCTCTCTAAAGAGGGCTCTCCGCTGCTTTATACGGGGACGTTTGGCCGACCGCGGCCGGCGCTGGGAACGAGGTGCCCGCTTGCCCGAAACGTCGCCCCGTTGCCCATCGCTCTCTCCGCGTGTTTTTTTTGCACGGCGCGGTGCCCGACGCTTCGCCGAGATTTGGTGAACGTTGCACACGGGGGGTTTGCTAGCGTGCGCCGGGAGGGAGGAGGTTTGGGATGTTTACGAGGGAAGGTGGAGAGGAGGCCGGAGGCGTGGAGGGATCAGGGGTGGAAGGAGACGTGGCGGATCAAGGGGGGAGGGAGACGTGAGGGATCAGGGGGAGGGAGACAATACGAGCGGGAGGGAGGAAGAAAGGGCTAGAAAAACGAGTGTTCGCGTGTGTAATCATTACCCGTCAATCCCTGCTCCGGGCGTTGCAAGTCCACACTTCAAAGCCACAACCCTGCCACAACACATCCCGTCCTAGCGTAGAACATAATCATCCAGGATCTATCAACCGCTGGATGAAGCCCACCGCAAGCCATTACTGTCTCTCATGGCCTCACGCAGCAACGCTGCATCCAGCCGCTGCACACGAGCCCCATCGAAACTGAACTATTTTATTTTATCTTAACCAGGTGAGGTCCACTGAGCTGAATAGCTTTTTTTCAGAAGCGACCTGGCTATCGCAAATGATAGCTCAACGAAGTGGCTTATCAATGTGGAAATATATAATAGCCAAATAGTGTACGTTAGAGCCGTGTGGTTTTATTAACCTGGGAGGAGACACCAGAGGGAGCCGCAGAAAAATCCACGCGACCACGGGGAAAGATAGAAACACGCAAACTCCAAATATAAAACAACAGGCTTCAGGGTCGGGATCGAACCCACGACCTCCTGTATACCAGGCAAGATAGCAAACATCTCACGAGTTTCTGTTCTTCGACTTTTGGTGCACTTTTTTCCTGCCACCGTCCGTGTTTCTCGTCCGTAGATCGCAGCAGGTAATGTGCGCTCCGAAAAAAAATAGCACGTCACACCCCCCCCCCGCCATCGCAGCCCATCCAATAAATGATAATGATTAAATAATGATTTTGCGTTCGTAACGTGCAGAGTTTTCAGTCACCCTCAGAAAGACTGAGGGAGAATTCCCCAGGGGTGAGTGAGGACCACAGACAAGCAGAGAGGCAGCCAGAACCCGTGCCAACAATTAGCCCAAGCTCTGCAGTCCTATACATGGAGATGCCTGCCCATCGCCGTTAATGGCCATTGTTATTCACGTGGGAAGAAACCAGAGGGCGCGGAGAAGAAATAAGAAAAAACCTCCCACGGGTACAGGCGTGAGATTGACCTACTTGCTGCACTGCCACGGCACCCTGGGAGGCCAGGAGTTGGCGACCTCCCTCAGCGCCCCGCGCTTTGGGGCAGGGAGTCTAACGACGTTGCGAGGTATTCTTAGCTCTTTCGGTAAAGTCACGTTGAAGGGAAACAATAAAATAATAAAATATATATAAAACAATAAAAATTCTCACGACGTTTCGACCTTAACACAAACGGTCATCATCATGTGTGAGGGTTTTTAGTGGATCACACGCTGCCTCTGGGGCGCAAGCGTGCGAGCGGGTAAGGGGGGCTTCTTCCTTCCTATGGCTCATGTCGACTCAGAGGAAGAACTACAATTCCAGGTGGTCAAGCCCAGATAACCACGTCAGGAGCAGCGGAGTGTAATCGCTGTCTCCAGGGCAACAACAGCACAAGGTCAAAGGTTACAGGCCACGTGCAGCACAACCATGAGCACGGTGGCGAGATGTTAACTCCCTCGCCTGGTATGCAGTAGGTTGTGGGTTTGATCCCGACCCTGACGCCTGCTGTATATTTGGAGTTTGCGTGCCTCCCTGCCCGTGGTCGCGTGCGTTTTTCTCCAGGTTCTCCGGTTTTTCCCTCCACATTCAGAATCAACATCACGCAATTTCGAGTATTTGGCTGCTTTACATTTTCACATGACAAAAGCCACATCGTTGAGCTGTCATTTGTGGCCAGGTCGCTTCTGATAAAAGAGTTACGTAGCTCAGTGGGCCTTACCTGGTAAAATAAATAAATAGTTTTAGTTTGGTTTAGCTGGGAGGGAGAGTCAGTGCTCTTTCCTCAGAGCCCTACAACTTGAAAACCAAGACTGATAATTGGGACCAGGCTGAAAGTTGTATTTTCCCACGTGGGAGGCACCGGGAGATCGCAGACTCTGAATACACCCGGGGGATCCGTCAGTACGTACAGGAACACCTCGCACTTTCGTCTGGTTAGGGACCAGAGCATAGACGAATGTCAAAATACTATAATATTATACTGCTATCACAAAAACAACTATTAATTGTTCACAGGATAATCACAGAAATAAGTGCGGTATTAATAATGTATGAATAAACACAAAGTTAAGAGATGCTCACTGAACGACTTCTATACAAAGACTGTACAAAAAAGACGGCGCGTGGACGAAATTATAAATGTGGTCATAGTTGAAAACGGCCGAAAGAGCGCAGAGGACGAAAATCAAGTGGACGACAGTCAAGGTATCGTTGTATGTTGAACTTCTTTCGCACCGTACATAGCCAACCGTGCTCATCGGAGGTACACAAGGCGTCAGCCCATGGTAGAGACTGCTCGTGGTCGACACTGCCCATACTGGACATCTGTGTAATAAAGAGCTTTATAGTTCATCGGATTCCTCCAGTATAAAGAAATATTCTGATTTTGATTCTGACACTGGTAGCATTGGAGACTGGTGTCATTTTCCACCCCAGGCAGTACCGATCAGGCCCCTTAGCGCTTGAACCATCAATGTGCCAGATCTGATTGACACCTCCAGCAGTAGCTGCAGCTGCATCATCAGCTGTCTCATAGCGCACCCTCGTGGTAGCAATAGAGCCGCCTTGGTAATTTGGTACAGAGAGGCGCAACCCTGCAACTGCTCGCTCGCGCCACCTGCTGGCAGAAGTGTTTCCACCAAAGGAAGCTCGAAAGAACACCTCTTCCTGGGAACTTGGCCTACTCTTCCATGCTGGCGCACTCATCAACACACTCGCACCCTCAGCTCTCCACTACTCGTATTCATACTCACCCATGCCTTGACCTGCCCACTCATCTGAACACTCACTGTGTATTCACCTCACACTCACTTCTCCACTCACCTGTATTCTCAATTGCTTTCCTACCAGAGTCCTCGATTGTACAACAACAACCGCCATTCGCCACTAAGTGGCGCTGACGTCACCACGACACTTGTGCCAGGCTATGTGCACCTTGAGGCCACGTGAAGTGTCGAACGCCTGCTGGCAGGAGGTCACGGGGTAGACCCAGGTGCCACGGGCCGACTGACTGAGATGACTGGCTGATACACCACCTGTGCCCCCTACTATGCCAACTTGCTGTGCTTTAGCCACCCGGCGCTCCGCTCGTTATTGTGAGCGTCGCTCCTCCGCCCTCCGTTGATGTTGGAGGGCGACTGCCACTAACTGCCCAGTAGCATCCTTCACGAGCCTCCTCCACAGAAGCCGATCTTGACACCACTGCTACCAGTCATTGGCAAGTCCACTCAGCTCCACATTCTCCTGCACCACATCACTCCATCTCTTCTCCAGCCCCTGCCGCGCCCGTTTAGCCCCCTTTATCCGGCCGAACAAAAGCTGTTTAGGCATGTGGTGGCTGGACATGTGGGCGACATGACTCAGCCAACGCAGCCTTTACTGCCGGAGGAGCTCACCGATGGGACTTTGTCCAGATCTTTCAAGGATTTCTGAGCTCCTCACCCAATCCAGCCTGGTTAAACCCAGGATGGATCGTAGGCAGGCCAGCCTAAATGTTTCTAACCGGCGAAGATGTTCCATGAGGGGCGCCCACATTTCGCAAGCGTAGAGAAGGGAGGGAATGACACAGCGTTACGCAACCGATGAAAAGTTAATGCCGCTCGACTGATTCGGAGTGAGACCTCTGCTGTTAAACCGGAGCCGATCATGAGCACACTGCCCAGGTATGGGAAACTCTCCACTCTCTCCACAACTGTGCTATCAGTCCTCTAACTCGATAGTACACTCACCTGTCCACCTACCTACCCACTTACCGATCCACTGACCAGTATCCTCACCTCCAAAATTTAAACTCATCTATTTGCCCACTCACTGGTGCCCTCACCTGTCCACTCACCAACATCCTCACCTGTATGTATGTTGAACTTTTTTCGTATCGTACGTAGCCAATCGTGCTAATCGGAGGTCACCTATAGTTTTACCCTTACCCACTCACCTGCCCATACACTTGTACCTCCACCTGTCAAATCACCTGTCCACTCACTTACCTCCTCACTTAACCACTCACCTGTCCACTCACCTGTAGTTTCAACTGCACTCTCAACTGCCCACACACTTGTACCCTCACCTGTCCACTCATCGACGTACTCACCTACACCCTTACCCACTCACCTGCCCATACACTTGTACCTGCACCTGCCAAATCATCTGTCCACTCACTTACCTCCTCACTTAATCACTCACCTGTCCACTCACCTGTAGTTTTAACTGCACTCTCACCTGCCCACTCACCTGCCCACACACTTGAACCCTCACTTGTCCTCTCACCTACACCCTTACCCATTCACCCACTCTACCACTCAACTGCCCACACACTTTTACCCTCACCTGTCCACTCACCTACATCCTCGGCTACACCCTTACCAACTCACCTGCCCACACACGTGCACCCTCACCCGTCCACTCACCTGTGTGCGTGCGCATGTGAGCCTTGAGGTGCGAGCTCTTGGTGTAGACTTTGTCGCAGCCGTCGAACTCGCAGCGGTGAATCCTCCTCCTCTTCGAGTCGGGCGACTCGGGGCTCCCCGACCTCTTGATGCCCTGGGCGCTGGGGTCACGGGGAGAGGGGGGGGGGGGTCACGGTTAGGGTCGAGGGTCACGTACGTGAGGATGGACGTTACAGCTGTGGCGTACGTATTTATGTTTCACTGTTCGAGTTGATCGAGGGCGCCGTGGTGGCGAGATGTCGACTACGTCGCCTGGTGTACAGGATGTCGTGGCTTCCATCACGACCACGACGCCTGCTGTATATTTGGAGTTTGCATGTCATTTAGAAACATGCATTTCTGCTATTTGGCTGCTAAACATGTCCACGTAAGAAGCCACTTCGTTGAGCTGTCATTTGTGACCAGGTGGCTTGTGAAAAAGAGTTGTATATCTCAGTGGGCATTGCCTGGTAAAATAAGAATAGTTTAGTTCATATGTTTTAGGCCTAGCTCACTAAAATTACAAAAGCAATAGCATAAAGCGCAAATGCATCAAGCAAATAGAAATCAGAGCCGAAACAACTGCACTGCAGAAGACAACAAAATAAATTACTTTAAATTTATCATAACAACAGTTGTCTTGGGCAAATTACATTCAGAGACCTTTTATAGCCAAATTAAGGTACGGAAAAAAATCTAAATGGATCCACTAGAATCAACTCCCCCTCTACATTGAGCAGCACTGCCCATAGACTAAACACTGGCCCATAGACTAAACACTGCCCATAGATTTAGATTTAAAGCTTTAGTGACTGCAGGGATTCATATTCTTGGTTCTTTCGGTAAAGTCACGTAGAAGGGAAACAATATAATAATAAAAAATCAATTAAATTCTCACGACGTTTCGACTGCAATACAAGCAATCATCATCAGGTGTGAAAACTACAGCAAGAAAATTAGAAAAAAGTGGCGTTTTTTTTTTAACGTTAGCACCACGGAGAGCGATTTGACAGTTTGGTCAGATGGACGAGTCCATCTATGTTCGGAAAAGAGGGGGGAGACGAAAAATAATGGATGCGGTCTGAAAGCCACCTTAAGCGTGATCAATCAATTAAGACCCGAAATGGTTTATCAAATCCTTCCAATGATTGCTAAGCCAGAATCCATCTTCTCGGTTGAAATTGTCTCTGTGTTTGTATATGTGGATAGCCTCATGAACGAATCTCCAATGGTAGCCAGATGGCTTGCAAAGAACCTCTGTCTTGGAGAAGTCAATGTCATGTGATCCTACTGAATTATAACAGTGATCTGCCACGGCCGAGGTGTTGGTCCTACCGTGTTTCAGGTCTGCTTTGTGTTCACGAATGCGGTCCGAGACATGTCGTTTGGTTTCTCCAATGTAACTACTACCACAGAGGCAACTTAGTTTGTAGACGCCAGGGTACTGTATGTCCGGAATCACATCTTTTACAGACAGAACCAGATCACGGATTTTATGTAATGTGTTGAATCGGACCTGGATCTTGTGTTTATTCAAGATTTTGGAGATATTTTTTGTGATCCCCGCAATGTAGGGTAAAGTGATGGTTTTGAAAGGCTCCTCAAGAGGGTCCTTCTTCATGGTTGGAGTGATAGCTTTACGGATTGTGTAATCGGAATAACCATTAGCCTTAAGAGCTTGGTGTACGTGCTTGAGTTCACTGGCTATGTGTTCCTGGTCGGATATGCATTGGGCTCTATGGTGCAGAGTCTTGATGAGGAAATTATTCTGGGATGGATGGTGGTGGGAATCCGGTTTCAGGTAAGCATCCGTATGGGTAGCTTTCCTGTAGACAGAGTGGCTCATTGAACCATCAGGTCTCTTTTTTATTAGGACATCCAAAAAAGGGTAGCTTGCCATATTTTTCGACTTCCATGGTAAATCTGATGGCTGGGTGTATGGAATTGATGTGGTCGAAGAATTGGTCTAGAGCAGGCCGGCCATGTGGCCAGATGACAAAAGGTACAAAATTCTACTCACCTGGTATCGACAATCAAGGGTATTTCGCTGTCCCCAGACGACCTGCTTGTCAGTTTTGTTGTAGTTTCCTTATTCACCAAAGTTCCTGTACCTGACACCATCGCAATCATTGAAGACTTGGTTCATCAAGGACTAAACACTGAGGTATCCTCCTTGGTGAGACACTGCTTAACCATACATACTTCACTTGGAATGGAACTTGCTACAAACAAACTGAGGGCACCCCAATGGGCTCCCCCCTATCTCCGTTTGTAGCCAACATTTTAATGGATAAATTTTAGACTGACGCCATCCAGACTGCCACAAACACAGAGACAATTTCAACCGAGAAGATGGATTATGGCTTAGCAATCATTGGAAGGAATTGATAAACCATTTCGGGTCTTAATTGGTTGATCACGCTTAAGGTGGCTTTCAGACCGCATCCATTATTTTCGTCTCCCCCCTCCTCTTTTCCGAACATAGATGGACTCGTCCATCTGAACAAACTGTCAAATCGCTCTCCGTGGTGCTAACGTTAAAAAAACGCCACTTTTTCCATTTTTCTTGCTGTGGTTTTCACACCTGATGATGATTGCTTGTGTTGCAGTCTAAACGTCGTGAGAATTTTATTGTTTTTTTATTTTTATTATTTTATTGTTTCCCTTCTACGTGACTTTACCGAAAGAACCAAGAATATACTGCCCATAGACTCAACACTGCCCATAGACTCAGCACTACCCATAGACTAAACACTATACTCTTTGGTTCTATTGAGTAAAGTCACGTAGGTGAAAATAAAATAACAAAAAATCACGACGTTTCGGCCACAACACAAGCAGCCTTCATCAGGTGAAGGGACGAGACTGTCTGGAGGACAGTCTCATCCCTTCCAGACAGTCTCATCCTTTCACCTGATGAAGGCCGCTTGTGTTGTGGCCGAAACGTCGTGATTTTTTGTTATTTTATTTTCACCTACGTGACTTTACCCAATAGAACCATAGAGTATGGATCCTAGCAGTCACGAAAGCTTTAAATCTAGAATAGACTAAACACTGCCCATAGAGTAAACACTGCCAATAGAATGAATACTACCCACAGACTAAACACTGCCCATAGACTCAACACTGCCCACAGACTCAACACTGCCAATAGACTAAACACTGCCCACAGACTCAACACTGCCAATAGACTAAACACTGCCCACAGACTCTACACTGCCAATAGACTAAACACTGCCCATAGACTCAACACTGCCCATAAACTAAACACTGCCCATCGACTCAACCCTACCCATAGACTCAACACTCCCCATAGACTCAACACTGCCGACAGACTCAACGCTGCCCATAGACTCAACACTGCCCATAGACTCAACACTGCCCATAGACTCAATACTGCCCATAGACTCAAAACTGCCCATTGACTAAACACTGCCCATAGACTCAACACTGCCCATAGACTTACACTGCCCATAGACTCAACACTGCCCATAGACTCAACACTGCCCATAAACTAAACACTGCCCATCGACTCAACCCTACCCATAGACTCAACACTCCCCATAGACTCAACACTGCCGACAGACTCAACGCTGCCCATAGACTCAACACTGCCCATAGACTCAACACTGCCCATAGACTCAATACTGCCCATAGACTCAAAACTGCCCATTGACTAAACACTGCCCATAGACTCAACACTGCCCATAGACTTACACTGCCCATAGACTCAACACTGCCCATAGACTCAACACTGCCCATAGACTCAACACTGCCCATAGACTCAACACTGCCCATAGACTCAATACTGCCCATAGACTCAAAACTGCCCATTGACTAAACACTGCCCATAGACTCAACACTGCCCATAGACTAAACACTGCCCATAGACTCAACACTGCCCATAGACTCAACACTGCCCATAGACTCAACACTGCCCACAGACTCAACACTGCCCACAGACTCAACACTGCCCATAGACTCAACACTGCCCATAGACTCAACACTACCCATAGATTCAACACTGCCTATAGACTCAACACTACCCATAGACTAAACAATGGCGATAGACTAAATACTGCCCATAGACTCAACACTGCTCAGAGACTCAACACCGGCCATAGACTCAACACCGCCCATAGACTCAATACTGCCCATAGACTCAACACTGCCCATAGACTAAACACTGCCCATTGACTCAACACTGCCCATAGACTAAACACTGCCCATAGACTCAACACTGCCCATAGACTCAACACTGCCCATAGACTCAACACTGCCCATAGACTCAACACTGCCCACATACTAAACACTGCCCATAGACTCAACACTGCCCATAGACTCAACACTACCCATAGACTCAACACTGCCTATAGACTCAACACTACCCATAGACTAAACAATGGCGATAGACTAAATACTGCCCATAGACTCAACACTGCTCAGAGACTCAACACCGGCCATAGACTCAACACTGCCCATAAACTAAACACTGCCCATCGACTCAACCCTACCCATAGACTCAACACTCCCCATAGACTCAACACTGCCGACAGACTCAACGCTGCCCACAGACTCAACACTGCCCATATACTCAACACTGCCCATAGACTCAATACTGCCCATAGACTCAAAACTGCCCATTGACTAAACACTGCCCATAGACTCAACACTGCCCATAGCCTAAACACTGCCCATAGACTCAACACTGCCCATAGACTCAACACTGCCCATAGACTCAACACTGCCCACAGACTCAACACTGCCCACAGACTCAACACTGCCCATAGACTCAACACTGCCCATAGACTCAACACTGCCCATAGACTCAACACTGCCCATAGACTCAACACTGCCCACATACTAAACACTGCCCATAGACTCAACACTGCCCATAGACTCAACACTACCCATAGACTCAACACTGCCTATAGACTCAACACTACCCATAGACTAAACAATGGCGATAGACTAAATACTGCCCATAGACTCAACACTGCCCATAGACTCAACACTGCCCATAGACTCAACACTGCCCATAGACTCAACACTGCCTATAGACTCAACACTGCCCACAGACTCAACACTGCCCATAGACTCAACACTGCCCATAGACTCAACACTGCCCACATACTAAACACTGCCCATAGACTCAACACTGCCCATAGACTCAACACTACCCATAGACTCAACACTGCCTATAGACTCAACACTACCCATAGACTAAACAATGCTGATAGCTTTAACACTACCCATAGACTAAAAACTGTCCATAAAGATTAAACACCACCCATAGACTCAACACTGCCCACAGACTCAACACTGCTCACAGACTAAACACTGCCCATAGACTCAACACTGCCCATAGACTCAACACTGCCCATAGACTCAACACTGCCCATAGACTCAACACTGCCCACATACTAAACACTGCCCATAGACTCAACACTGCCCATAGACTCAACACTACCCATAGACTCAACACTGTATATAGACTCAACACTACCCATAGACTAAACAATGGCGATAGACTAAATACTGCCCATAGACTCAACACTGCTCAGAGACTCAACACCGGCCATAGACTCAACACTGCCCATAAACTAAACACTGCCCATCGACTCAACCCTACCCATAGACTCAACACTCCCCATAGACTCAACACTGCCGACAGACTCAACGCTGCCCACAGACTCAACACTGCCCATATACTCAACACTGCCCATAGACTCAATACTGCCCATAGACTCAAAACTGCCCATTGACTAAACACTGCCCATAGACTCAACACTGCCCATAGACTAAACACTGCCCATAGACTCAACACTGCCCATAGACTCAACACTGCCCATAGACTCAACACTGCCCACAGACTCAACACTGCCCACAGACTCAACACTGCCCATAGACTCAACACTGCCCATAGACTCAACACTGCCCATAGACTCAACACTGCCCATAGACTCAACACTGCCCACATACTAAACACTGCCCATAGACTCAACACTGCCCATAGACTCAACACTACCCATAGACTCAACACTGCCTATAGACTCAACACTACCCATAGACTAAACAATGGCGATAGACTAAATACTGCCCATAGACTCAACACTGCCCATAGACTCAACACTGCCCATAGACTCAACACTGCCCATAGACTCAACACTGCCTATAGACTCAACACTGCCCACAGACTCAACACTGCCCATAGACTCAACACTGCCCATAGACTCAACACTGCCCACATACTAAACACTGCCCATAGACTCAACACTGCCCATAGACTCAACACTACCCATAGACTCAACACTGCCTATAGACTCAACACTACCCATAGACTAAACAATGCTGATAGCTTTAACACTACCCATAGACTAAAAACTGTCCATAAAGATTAAACACCACCCATAGACTCAACACTGCCCACAGACTCAACACTGCTCACAGACTCAACACTGCCCATAGACTCAACACTGCCCATAGACTCAACACTGCCCACATACTAAACACTGCCCATAGACTCAACACTGCCCATAGACTCAACACTACCCATAGACCCAACACTGCCTATAGACTCAACACTACCCATAGACTAAACAATGCTGATAGCTTTAACACTACCCATAGACTAAAAACTGTCCATAAAGATTAAACACCACCCATAGACTCAACACTGCCCATAGACTCAACACTGCTCAGAGACTCAACACCGGCCATAGACTCAACACTTTCCATAGACTCAGCAGTGCCCATAGGCTCAACACTGCCTATAGACTCAACACTACCCATAGACTAAACACTGCCCATAGCTTTAACTCTAATCATAGACTAAACACTGCCTATAGACTCAACACCGCCCATAGACTCAACACTGCCCACAGACTCAACACTGCCCATAGACTCAACACTGCCCACAGACTCAACACCATAGACTCTTCCCTCCCCTCACCCCTCCACTTCTTCCCGTCCCTCCCCTGCCCTTTCGTGATCCCTGGGTAATGCTCTATGGCTGTCACTCATTCCTCAATCCTTGTAGCACGCCGCCGCCATCTAAATCATTCTACTCTGTCACCGTTTTGCAAGCTATGTCAAGCGCCTTGAGTTGAAGGTGCTCCATAATGCACAATGAGATTAGATTTTGGACGATCCAGAAAACTAAAATATATCTAGATTCGACAGGAAGATGTCACAGGAAATGACATCATCCACCATGTCACTTGTTTTTTTCTGCCAGAAAATTTGATTTTCCTGGCAAATTGGCAAAACGTGGCAGGACGACGCCTTAAATTACAACAAACGATATCTGAAGAGGAAAATAAATCTAGATGTGTCCTTGAATATTTTTTGAAAAAAAAAGAAATTCTGAAACTCATTGCTAGGAGGCAAATAAACACCAAAATATAAAAAAACAACATCCCAGCACCCGACGACCACCTGAATTTAATCTCAAATAATGAGACAAATTGGCCGCTCTACTGACATCCATCACACAGGTTTTGTTTGGGTTAGATCGCATAAATATAAATGTGTCGTTAAACCCGCCACCACCCGACGCAGCCAATCAGTAAGGTTTGTCACGTAAACAGAACGTGGCCAATTCGTCACTAGCACAGCACACCGGTGTGTTGGAGAGCCAAGCCACAACATTTACAATCACACTACGACGTTTCGCCAGTAACCACAACTAGCTTCATCAGGCGTAAGCCAGATTTGTGTAGAAGTCCACCTGTATCGTTCCTTAAATAGATTAAGCTAGTTGTAATTACTGGCGAAACGTCATACTCAGATTGTAAATGTTGTGGCTTGGCTCTCCAACACACCGGTGTGCTGTACTAGTAACGAATTGGCCACGTTCTGTTTACGTGACAAACCTTGCTGATTGGCGGGATTAACGACATTTTTATATATTTACGCGATCTAACCCAAAACAACCTGTATTATGGATATTGGTCGTGAAATCCTACGTGTTAAACTCTACTGTGACGTCGTTGATAGATGTTGTATACAGGAATATGAACTGCAGAGAGGGTTAGCGTGGATGTTCTGGAAAGTCGACATAGGGTGGGTGTTGACTCTGCAGCAACAGAGTTGTAAATATTAGACTCTGTGCTATTTTGTTATTAAATATGCATTATTTTCTCCAGTAAAGAACAAGGCTTTCGCTCATTTACGTTGATCTCTCCTGCAATTAGTGAATTCAAAACAAAACACCACACTGAAAAAAAAAATACGCTTCGACGTTTTAGTTTCCGATCTTTGAGAGCCCATCGGTGTTTTCATCAAACATTGCTCGTCCGACACATCGACGTTTCTTGGGATTTCCCATCCGTAGTTTTGTTTTCACCATCCCTACCCCAACCCGCTCTACCCCACATCCTCCTCAACCGTGCCCCCCCCCACACCCTCTGACCCCCCCCTGACCTCCCCCCCCCGCCCCTCATGACCCATCCCCCCCCCTCCGCCCGTACTCTTGCGAGAGAGAGGAGCGCGCCTCGTCCGCCACCAGGGACGTCATCTCGTCTTCACTGCCACTCTCGCTTTTTATGGCGCGGACCCCAGCCTCGGCTCCCGCACCCTCTGAGACAACGGGACGGGGGGGAGGGTGAGACGATGAGGAAGCGGGGGGAGACGTGGGAAGACACAGAGAGACACACAGGGGAGACAGGGAGACACGGGCACAAAATCCAGTCATCCATCAACATCAGTTTAACGCGTAGGCTTTCGCGACCAATATCATCCATAATATAGGTATATATTTTTTTATGAGATCGCGTAAATGTGTCGTTAAACCCGCCACCAACCGACACAGCTAATTAGTAAGGTTTGTCACGTAAACAGAACGTGCCAATTCGTTACTAGTACAGCACACCGGTGTGTTGGAGAGCAAATCCACAACAATTACAATCATCAACATGACCACCTCCAAAACCAACCCACTGTTTGGCCACAGTGGTACATACCACGTGCTTATGTCCACACAGGCGAATGGTAACGACCGACCCATCGGGCGGTTCCATTTTAAACCGAGGGGAACATCAGTCTTTACATTTAAAATAATCGATTTTCAAAAACCTGTTGAGGTGACATTTGAGTGTGATGAACTTCACAGTTTTAATAGGCACTCGCTAACACCACCTGCTTACTACTAAATCATCAGAAGTACGCGCGATCTCGCCAGACCTCGAAAGCTTAGCAGCTATGAGCCTGTATCAGTGCCTGGATGTTGGTGGTCGTGATGGTTATGCACGTGACCTGTAATCCAGCACGTGACCTGTAATCCAGCAAGGGTTGGTGGATCACCACACAGACGGTGTAAAACTTCCTTCCCGTGTGGGCGTCAAGGACAATCCGTGCCCTGGAGGCGGTACAGCTAGAACTGTGGACTCCACCTGTTCCGCCTGTACGGAATAGAGTGTTTCCCCCTCGCACGCACTCACTAATTGGCCGATAACACCTCAATGTACAGAGGACCGCGAAGCTCGGGCAAATTGTTGGCAGCACCGGCTGCTGCCTTCTCGTTCGTCCGCGGGTTCCTTCTCCTGGCGCCTGCTGAGTCGTCCCCCCCCCACCCTCCTCTACTCTACGAGGACGAGGAGTGATGGCAGCATCAGCGATCACTCGTTGCTGTGAAATCACTCGTTGCTGCGACTACGACGCACGGCATGGGTCGGCAACCTGCGGCTCCAGGGGAAGCCACCCGCGCGGCTCTTTAAGGGCCTGGGGCCTCGTGACGTTATTTTATTAAGGGGCCCACGGTCTCCTATTCACACGCATTGCGGAATATTAAGTGGCGCAGTTACTCCATCATCAGCTCAGGGTGCGGCAATCGGTCAGGGTGGTGCACCCACAATATTTGATTTGTCGCGCACGGTCGCACCGAGGAGGCCTTTCGATGTCGCGGCTCCTTCTGCCTCCTCGTATTCGCGCCGCTTCACGGTCTCGAACATTTAACGCTGTTATGGGGCGCTCCGCTTTAAATGAGCGTCGTTGCTCTTTCACACTGCCTGTCGACAACAAATTTCACGGTCGTTGTCATGAGGGCCCCAGCTCGTAGCTTTGGCCACCGGGGGGGGGGGGGTGGAGTGGGGGGCAAGGCAGGGGGTGCCTTGCCCCCATCCTCGTTACGCTCTTGAAATATAAACAAAAATTTGGAGAGAATTCGAACAAAAAAATAGCTCTGCTCTCGTTATTTTCGTTGCCTAACCGCTGTGCATGCAACGAGAACGCGAGCAGCATGCACGGGCAGGCAGCAGAGGGCAGAGCAGCAGCATCCTTCCGCCTGCAAAAAAAAACTACCACCACAGGCAGCAGCAGCTGCAGCAGCAGCAGCCCGCGTTGACCAGTGCGGTGCAGGGGAATGGCCAAACCATCCCTCAAGTGCCGCTCAAGTGGGATGAGGGACGGCCCTCATCCAGCAGTGGATTCACAACACGTGCAGATTAGAATACGCGCTTTTTCCCCCACCCCACCCGAATTTTCAAGGCAAAAGTTGGGGGTGCGTCTTATAATCCGATAAACGTGCGCGTGTGTGTCTGTGTGTGTATGTCTATGTGTATGTCTGTGTGTGTGTGTGCTTATGTGTGTGTCTGTGTGTGCGTGTGTGGGGAGTGGTAGTGTAGCAGTTAGCGCGCTGCGATACGAACCCCGGCAACCCGAGTTCGATTTCCATTCACGGCCAAGACCATTGACGATTATCTGAACCGCTCCTTGGATTGCCCTATGTCGATTTAGCCTCCAAACGAGTGGCTGGTGCAGTGTGTAAAAACATCGTCACTCGAGAGACAAAGGCGGCCGGGCGTGGCGTTGGTCACCCACCCCGCGTGTACCGTGCCGGCCTTCATAGGTGCTCACTAACAGCACTTGTCCCAACAGTCTGTTGTTGTTTTCAGATTTGTAGAAATTTGTTGACACAAGGCAGAAATTTTGAGTGCGTGGTACTTTCCTGAACGTCTCATAATCTCGTGAATACGGTACTCTACATGGCACCCAAGTAATTCATCTGACGCTGCACGAGGGGGCAAGTTCCGCCTCGATAGCGAATATAACTCGGCATATACCTTCCACGCAGAAGATCCCCCGTGTAGAGACTTTACAGACCGTTGGGGCAAGTACCGTGTGCGAGCACTAATTACGCACCGCACCGGTGACTCGTTTGAGGTTGAGTCGACCGAGGGGAGGCCCAGGACTGGTTCAGATAAATCGTCACTGGCGTTGGCCGTGAGCAGAAATCGAACTTGGGTCGCGCTGGTTCATCGCGTAGCGGTAATGCCGGTGCCTCACAGCAAGCAGGGCCTGGGTTCGATTATGGATCATACTGGCTCCTCTGCCTCACCATCTCTAACCCTCCTCACCACCCTGATCCCCCATCCTACTCCCCACCTTCTTGCCGTGGTGCGGCGCGCTCCTCGATGACGGGCACGGCGATGGACACGCCGGGGTGGCTGCGCACGGCCGCGGTGTACACCACGGGCACCGGCTGCACCACGAGCGGCACGCGCCGAGCGCCGGGCCCGCCGCCGCCGCCGGCACCCCCCCCGACGGGAGGAGGCGGCGGTGGCGGCGGCGGCGGTGGAGCCGTCGCCCCCCCCACCGCCACCGCGACGGGGGGGTGGGCTCCAACCGCGAGCCGCGCGTGGAACACCCGCACCAGGCCGGCTCCCGTCGGCGTGGCCAGCACCGCGGCCGTGCCAGGCAGCGCCGACAGCGCCAGGGACTGGCACGTCACCGACGATGGCGACGAGGAGGCACAGGACGAGGACAGCAGCGATAACGCCGCCGTCGCCGACGACGCCGACGATGGCGGTGGCGGCGGTAGCGGCCGCGGCGGTAACGTGTGGCCGGCCTTGGTGTGGTTGAGCCGGGCGGTGGTGGAGGCCGCGGGTGAGCTCCGGCTCGACTTATTGATGGAGAGGTCGACGGGCTCCGTCTGCATGCTGTAGGGGCCCACGGAGTCCGCGGCCAGCCCCATCGCAGCCGGAGGCCCGACGTCGCCCGGTGTGGCAGCCTCCCCCTGTTGGCCCTGTGGGGGCTGTCCCCCCGGGGGTTGGAGGGGCGCAGTGAGGGGTGCGGGGGACGGGGGGTTGGGAGGAATGAGCGGAGGCCAAGTGGTTAGTGAGAGCAACATTTATATTTTATTTCAGAAATTTGATTCACGATCATGGGCAACACCATAGGTATCTTATCATCATCATCAACCCACCCTTAATTAAATTCATTTTCATTATCACCATGATTATCATTCAAATCGTTACCATCGTTGTTTTTGTGTTTCTCAGTGTTATTGTCAAAGTTAACCTAGGCTGGCGCCATAGCTGTCATAAGTGTCAGCTGTTGTTGTTGCTGTTTCACTGTATCACTGTGTGAGGTTGTTTCTAAACCACGTGTGTCTGTCTGTGCGTGTACCTGTACGTGTGTGAGCATATCAGCCTCGATAGGCGCTCTCTAACAGCACTTGCCCCAGCAGTCCATCTTTGGTGGTAGGGTTATGGGAAGGCAAGAGAGGGGGGAGCATGGTCAGTGTGAAGAGGAGAGAAGGGGTGAGATGGGAGGGGCAGGTATAGGTGAGAAGAGGGGAGACTGGAGTGGAGAGGAGGCAGGGAAGGGGAACGGAGGGGAAGAGGTAAGATGAGAGGAGGCACCAGTTGGGAGGGGATGCCCATGGAGAGAGAGAGAGGAGAGCAGAGGGGCAGGTGGAGAGGAAAGAGGTGGAGAGGAAAGAGTAGCGACGAGGAGTCGAGAGAACAGCACAGGGAGACAGCACAGAGGTGAAACGGGAGTCCAGGAAAGAGGTGAGAGGAGAAGGACAGGGAGAGTTCAAAACAGAAGAGGGGTAGAGGCGATGAGATAAGGGAGGAGAATTAGCAGGCTGGTGCGCACACGTGCGCGTCTGCCTATGTGGGTGGGCAGTCGAACTCCTGGATGCGCAATGGGCCACTGCAACAGGATACAGGGAGCGCGGCTGCTTCAATTTGATCCGTCGCTGGCTGGAGGGCGGCAAGCCGGCGGTCCGGCGGGCGGGTGACAGACGCGCGCAGGGCGAGGGGGCCGCCGCTGTTCGCGGCCAAACGGGACGGAATTAAACCGGGATAGGAACGCGGAGGCTCATCCAGGGGCCGCGTCGCACGCACGCACGCAGACACAGCGACCGGGGAGATGTCGCGCGGGAACAGAGCCGGGAGGGCACGCGATGGAGGCCCAGGCCGGTCACGCTACACTCGCTGCCGTGGTAGCAGTGACAGCAGTGGCAGCAGCAACGGAAATAACGTAACCGCAGCTACAATCCTCGTGACTACTACCAACCAAAAATATCACGGTCATCAGCAGCAGCTGTGGCAGTAACAGCAGCAGTAGCATCATAACCAGAGCCACACTCATTGCAACCACGAGTGTACTTATTATGCCGTGGGGGTCTCCGCCTGATGTCAAGTGAACGTGTCTTCAATAAAGTGCCATCTCAAGAGAAGTGCGTCAAGTCGTCGCTACACAATCACAGACAGGAATTATGAGGACGCTACAGTAAAACAAGGCATACATCACACCGTGTGTCACGCCAGTGGCAGCCAAAAAGGGGAAAACAATGCTTAACTTATCCAAATAAACTCTTAAGAGAAATTTCGATTTCAAATAAGTTGAGTTTCCTATGAGCAAGTCACTGATGGATGCCGTAAGCTAAGCTGTGGCCAGTGGTGGTGAAGTATGGTCAAACATCCACCACGACCCCATACGGCGATGTGGGGGAGGCCCTCATCCAGCAGTGGATCGACGAACGGCTGTCACACGTACAGATCGAGTGACAGTATCTTCTTGCTCCTGGGTAGGCTTTTGCAGCTGTGCTCTATAGCTGTCCGCTGCGTTTTTTACTTCCGGTTGAGCCTTTGTGCGCGGTCCGGCTCGATGTCCGACGTTCCGGGGGAGGGGCCGGTAGCAGCAGCACCGGAAAACCGAGCGGAAAAATCGCCTTCGCTTCCGATTTTGAATTCAGTGCCAAATCAAGAGGGCGCTTTCACTCGGAGGTGTTTTACACCAGCCGTGCTTTACACCAGCCGTGGACATCGGTGGATAAAAGAGCTTCATCGCTCATCGGATTCCTCCCGGTCCGAAGAACAAACATTCCGATTCCGATGGCCACAGCTCCTGCTGGCGCTCCCGGCGCGCCCAGCGAAACGTCGGACATCGTGCCGATCAACAGGCGGGCACGACCTACAAACACAGCGGAGAGTCGTCTACTTCTTCGAGGGACATCTCGGTGAGGGGGAGGCGGTGGTGGGGGAGCAGGCGAGCGTGGTGGTGGTGGTGGTGGGGAGGGGAGTCGTTTCGCTTCGCCTTACGTCGCTGAATTATTCAAATCCCGCGCGCAACTCGAGCCGCGCGGCTCACGGGGGCCTCGCGTCAGCCCAGCGGCTCCCGAAGCTTGGGTTTCCTTAAATCGAGACGGGGAGAGAGGAGAGGCTCGTGACTGCGTGGGGAGAGTGAGGAGGTGAGGCGGTGAGGGGGGGGGGGGGGGGCAGTGAGCGGATGAGGTGCTGAGGTTATAGGGTGAGCAGGTGAGTGCGTGAAAGGGTGAGGGGGTAAGTGGGTGAGGGGCTGAGGGTCTGAGGAGGTGTGGCGCTAAGGGAGTGAGAGGCTGAGGAGGTGAGGGGGAGAGTAGGTGAGCAGGTGAGGGGTAAGGAGGTGAGGGGGTGGGTGATGGGTGAGAAGGTGCGGGGCTGAGAGGGGTGAGGGGCCATGGTGACACTCAGCATAAACACACCAAGCCGATCCACAGACCCTGGATTCATAAACACAACACTGGTGCTGCTTGTTATACGAGCACGAACTCGAAATCCTCTGTATCTCACTACATCTGTAGTTTTGACTATTTGCAGTCTCCGCGTCACCTCAAGAGACACAGAATCCATTCGGAAATCTCACGGCCGCAGAAGTGGCTATCATAGAGCCACGTCTGAGATCCCTTCAAGCCACGAAGTAGGGGGACAGCATTTTAGTTGAATGAGGTAAGAAAAACTAATTTTTATCCAACTGGCAACTCTGTAACCCCCGGCAACAGCGCGGGAAGGGGAGTAGAGTCAATGATACCAAGATTGGAAACTGAGAAAGGAACGGGAAAGAGAAGAGAGAACACAGAGAGAATGGGAAATCAGAGGAAATTGATGGAAAAGGAGAAACGGGAGCAAAGGGTCAGGAAAGATGAGGATATAGGGGAAGAGGATCCACAGTGCAGCGTCTGTTTTCACAGGAGGCGGAGGCAGGGAGGGATTCAGAGTGGGGGCGGTCACAGAAGTCAGGCTTCAGCTGATTTCATATGCATGTTAAACTTCTTTCGCACCGTACGTAGCCAACCGTACTAATCGGAGGTGCGGGCAGAAGGACAACAAACTAAACACAAAGAGCAGTTCTCAATAAATGAGTTTGTCAACCTAGATGATGATTTAAAAGCCCACAGCTCCCAGTGGCTTCCTAATATCGGAAGGGAGAGCGTTCCAGACGGCCGCAGAGGCGCACCTGATTAGCGCGCGATGCAAAACGAGCTAAAGATTGAGAAAATCATTTGCATTGACGGAGGGGAAGGCCAATTGAGATCACAAGGAGCAGGGTCGCATTGTGGTTGATGAGGAAGGCTTGTGTTCGTGTTGCGGGGATAATGGTGCAGGCTTGGTCATGTAGGGTTGTGGTGGTGAATTATTCTGTTGTGGAAGGGTTTAGGCAGTCATTGAGGTAGGGTTGTGGCTGCTCAAGTGTTGTGGCTAAACGAGGCCGAGAGTTATGCGAGTGCTGTGGCTGGCTGTGGCAGTGTTGCGACTGAACAATGCAGGGTACCATTGGTGCTGTGGTCGAGATCGTGAAGAGATAATTGTTGTGGTTGAGTGAGATAGCGGTTGTTGGTGGTGTTGTGGTTGTCTGGAGTCGGACTGTGACAAATAAGGTCACTGTTGTGGCCGGTGCTCGGACCGCATTGTGGACAGCGTTGTGGCTGCCGAGGTAGCGTTGTGGCTGCCGAGGTATGATGGCATCAGGGATAGTGTTGCTGCGATGGTGGTGTGTAAGATAGTGCGTGGTGAGGCGAGGGTTAAATCTGGGCGTGGTAGGGTTGGGTCGTGAAATGGGAATTGAGGGGAGGGGCAGAGAGGGGGCGGGGGGGGGGTGACCTCCGGGGGCTGTGACGACGCTCCACTCCCCCGCACCCCCGCTCCCCCTCCCCCACGGCCCCCTCCCCTCCTCACCACCACCACCACCACTCTCCCCCCGACAGCGACTCCCCTCCAGCACCCCCCGCCCACAAACTCTCCCCCACACAGCCCCTCCCGCTCGCCACCCCTCTGCCCACAGCCCCTCCCCCCCACTACCTCTATCCCCCATACCCCGTCCCCCCACACCCCCTACCCCCCACGCAGCCCCTCGCCATCCCTCTCCCCACAGCCCCCCCACGCCCCCCCTATACCCCCAACACAGCCCCTCCACCTCGCCATCTCTCTCCCCAGAGCACCCCCCCACGCTCGATCCGCTCACAAACGTGATTTACGCATTACCAATGATAAGGGAATCATGCCCTCCCGCTGCTGTCGCTGTTGGGGGGAGGAGGGGGGTTAGGTTGGGGGGGGGGGGGCTGGCAAGACACACACGCACCTGACGATGACCTTTAACCCCAACGTCTTCAAACAAATTCCGAGATGTTTTGACAAAGGGTGCGATGGTGGTGGAGGTGATGATGGCGGTGCTGGTTGTGGTTGGAGTGATACTGATGAAGGTGGTGGTTGTGGCATTGATGACGGTGGTGGTGAAAGTGATGATGGTGGCGGTGTTTGTGGTGGAAGTGGTGACGAAGGTGGTGGTGGTGGAATTAATGATGGTGGTGGTGGAGGTGATGATGGCAGTGCTGGTTGTGGTTAAAGTGATACTGATGAAGGTGGTGGTTGTGGCATTGATGACGGTCGTGGTGAAAGTGATGATGGTGGTGGCGGTGTTTGTGGTGGAAGTGGTGACGAAGGTGGTGGTGGTGGAATTAATGATGGTGGTGTTGGAAGTGATGATGGTAAGGAGAGTTGATGGAGTGATGATGGCGATGGCAGTGGTATGGTTGTGGTATTGGAAATTATGATGGTGGTGTTGGTGGGTGTTGTGGCAGAAGCGATGATGGGTGGTATTGGTAGCGATGATGATGGACAACCAAATATGATGATGGCGAGCAAGAAGAGGGTGAGGTGGTTGTGGAATTAATGATGGTTACGGATAGTGATAACGATTAGCTAGATTATGGTGGTAGTTTTGGGGGTTGATATTTGTATAGTTTTGTTCACCATTGTTGTGCTGGAATGATGAAAATAAATTGAATGAATGAATGTTCATTGATATGGTGGTGGAAGTGATGATAACAATGACGTATGTGCTATGAATATGGTCGACTGCCCGAAACGTTACCTTTTTTATATTTTTCATTTTAACGCGACAATGTTATTGATGAATATGTTGAGTAAAAAAGGATAATTATGACCTTTATGAACTGTGATAATTACTGTGGCGTTTTTTTAATGACTGGTGTGCTAATGGACATGATGATTGGTGTGCTGATGAACATGATTGGTATGCTGATGCACATGATGATTGGTGTGCTGATGCACATGATTGGTATGCTGATGGACATGATGACGATTGGTGTGCTGGTAAACATGATGATTGGTGTGCTGATGGACATGATGGACATGATGATAGCTGTGCTTATTGACATGATGATTGGTGTACTGATGAACATGATTGGTGTGCTGATGCACATGATGATTGGTATGCTGATGGACATGATAATTATTGATGTGCTGATGGACATGATGACGATTGGTGTGATGGTGAACATGATGATTGGTGTGCTGATGGACATGATGGACATGATGATAGCTGTGCTTATTGACATGATGATTGGTGTGCTGATGGACATGATGATGATGACACTGGAAGCACACATTAAAGCAGCACTCTCTCTCTCAAGCTGCCTTTGCCGCGACCACCAGGAGTGAGAGAGGAGGAGAGAGGGGCGAATGGAGGTTTGGCCGTGATGGGAGGGGATGTGTGTGTGTGAGGTGTGGGATGGGGAGGGAGACTGGAAGGGGAGGGAGACGAGGAGGGGAGGGGGGTGACTGAGGGGGAGGGTAGCCTGGGGGAAGGAGGGAGGGAGAGCGGGGTCTGACGTAATGCATTGTGTTGGCGCTCGCGCGCCGGAGCGACCGCGTGTGCGCGCACGTGCGTGCACACGGACCGATCAATTCGCGCGCGCACACACACAAAAGACAAAAATATCCCCCGTGTAGCCTACACACCATATAGGTTGTTGGGGCAAGTGCTCTTAGCGAGCACCTATGACGCACACGCGGGTGGTGTGGCTGGCACCACACCCCACCGTATTTGTCTCTCCCCGGATCTGATTTTTAGACACCGCAGAAGGTACTCGTTTAAGGCTGAGTCGACGTAGGGGAGGCTCACGAGCCGACACGGACATTTGTCACCGATGTTGGCCGTGTGCTGGAAGCGAACTCGGGTCGCCGGGTTCGTAGCGCAGTGCGCTCACCGCAATCCCATCCCATACAAACAACGCACGGGCACACACACACACGTGTACACACACGCACAAAGATAAAAACAAAATCTCCCGATATAGCCTTAACAGACTGTAGGGGAAAGTGCAGTTAGCGAGCACCTATGAAGGCCGGCACGGCACACGAGGGGGTGGGTGGCCAGCACCACGCCCTACCGCCTTTGTCTCTCCAGTGGCGATGTTTACACACCGCACCAGGTACTCATTTCAGGCTGAGTCGACCTAGGGAAGGCCCATGACCGGTTCAAATAATCGTCACTGGGTGTTGGCCGTGAGCGGGAATCGAACTCGGGTCGCCGGGTTCGTAGCGCAGCGCGCTAACCTCTACACCACCGCTGCCAATTGTACACACGTGTACACATACGTACACACGTGTACACATACGTACACACGTGTACACATACGTACACACGTGTACACATACGTGCACACACACACGCAACTCACGTGCACACGTGCACACACTCGTGATAATACGCAAGGCACCGTCCGTCTTTCTCGCTCTCTCTCTCTCCTGATTCCATCTCCTCTTCTTTCCTCATCTTATCTCAACGAACGCAAATCACCGGCTATGATCACTCCACTGCTGGACGAAGTCCTCTCTCCCCCAAAGCCGTTGCCACTTCTCACGATCTTCTTCGATGCAACGCATCCATCCTCACCCGATCTGTGCGTCCGTCCCGATGCCATCTTCTCACGTCTCCCCTTATCACGTCCCCCCGATGTCACGTCCTATCATCTCCTGTCATCTTCTCTGCCCCCATCTCCTGACACAATAGGTAATCTTATTATCGCTTGACGATATCGTATCATCTCACATCTTGATGCCCAGCCCTCTCGTCTTATCCCCTCCGCAACTCATCCCCTTCGCAACTCATCCCCATTTCACCCCCCTCGTC